TAAGATTTCCCCCAATAAAAAGCATATTTGAAAAACAGAAAAGAAAAAGGTCATTCAGATACCAAAGAGAGGAAGTAAAAGAGCTCATTTACTTTACTAAGTGACTCACACCTCAAGATAATGTGTGTGAGATAATTAGTCTCAGAAATGCAATTGTTTTAATTTAAAAACTTTAATAGTTTATACATTCATATGGATTCAAAACTCAAAAAGTATATAGTGCATTTCACGTGATTTTTTTTTGAAAAAAAAAGTTTTACCTCTTCTAATAATGGAATAAAGTTTTAATATTCAATTAAACATTTCATAATTTTATTAAAGGCATATTACCAATACATTATAACTATAGTGTTACTACATAATTCTACAAACAGCAGGTATTCATACCATTTATTTTCTGTACAATACTATATATTTTAGTATTTAATTATATGTACTCAATTAGTTAGCTTGTTAACTTTTGTACTCAATTAGTTATTTTGTTAAACCATTTTCCGACTGGTGTCTGTCTATAAATACTGGCCTCTTAATAGAATAAAAGCTCTTTAAAATCAACGTCATCGTATACTACTTGAATACTTTTATATAATAAATGGTTACATTAATTCGATAAACAAAGGGCCTATATTAGTTCACATCTATTGACTTTTTAAAAATAAAGTCTCGTCTTTTCAAGCATGTTATTCTTACCTCTCGCTGTTCTCCTCCATAGTATCTTGTGTTTTAGAGGACAGTCCTGTATATCTGTCACCTGTCAGTTTTTCTTCCTCTAGTCCTACCCTGCTCCCATTGTATTTTTCAGTCATTATCTTGGTTGGTGAATGATCAAAAGCAGGACATAAATCTTCTTTAGAAAGTTCTTTCCACTGTTTCTATGTAAGGAAGAGAAATAAAAACAAATGCAAACACTAAAATTTTGGTTTCCCTTAATATTAAAAGGATTTATGAATTGAAATTCAATAGTTAACTTTAAGAAAACCCTGTGATACTAACAGATGAATGAAAAAAGACCTCACTAAAATATTAGTCATAGTAGGAAGATTTTAGCCAAAGCCGGATTTTGCTGGACTCCTAAATCCACAGGTATGTAACAATGGAAGTAATGACCAAGAAGGCACTTGAATGTGATCTAGTATCTCCTGGTTCCCTGCCATTGTCTAATCAAATGCAGAACCTACGGTGAGATCTCCAAGCAGGTCCCCATGATGCCAGGACTTCAATTTGGAAGTCCTTACCAAGAGTACTAATAGCTCCAGGTAGCTAGCCCACCTCCGGGTTAGGAAAAACTCTAGCATGCCTGGACTTCAAAGCAGGCAGGATTTAGACCATGATGAAGAGAAATTACATTTTCTTCATCTATGAAATAAGAATGTCATCACCTACTCTGGAAGTCTGTTGTGATTAATAAGATGACATGCGAAAGGGCCTAGCATCACATCTGGCAAACATCAGTTAGTTTGCTTTATCCTCACTGCCACCATCCCTAGAGAGAGAGGGAGAGGAAGAAGAGGTGCAGAGAGAGAAGGCGGCAAGTACAACCTCAGCACAGAGGACCACTGGATCTCGAGTCCTTAAGGGCTGGGAACATAACCATCCATCTCTTTGCCAATAACAAAAGTAGTAGAGGAGGCAGCAGGGAGAGCAAATGGTTTGGATTATTTACAACTCTGACACTGGCACAAAATGACTGGCATAGACAGGGGTGGCTCTTTGAAGATCCTATCGTGGAAGGATGGAGTCTCAAATCTAATGAATAAGGAACTCTATAGCCCATTGTCTCAGAATTTTAATGATTTTGAACAGAAATGTTAACAGTGCAACTTACACTTTTCAGGAACCATGGAAAGCTTATTCCTGGAGTTACTTTGGTGCAAAATGGCATTGCTATAAACAATGCTTGTATATTTCATTTAAAAATCCCTGGAAAATTTATAGATATACTGATAAACCAGTTTCTAACTTGTCATTATCATACAACAGAGGAATTAAAAAGAAAAGGGCATTTTACTACAGTCCATTTTTTAAAAAAATAAGTGTGTGGTGGTGTTTTTTGTTTTTTTTTTAAGATTTTATTGGGGAATCAGGGGAGGGGAACAGACAAGTTGCTGTCCTTTTGTTCTTCAGTCTAGTTGTGGAGGACGTCGCTTCACTGGCCCATGTTGGTA